TTCTTTCTATTACTTCGCAAGTAGCTGCTTCGATTTCAACCAATTACTATGTAGACATAGAGATAGTTATTTGAAGGAGTGGTCCTTTTTATCTAATCATTAAGTTTTCATTGAATGATTTCATCATTTAATAATACTGATGTGGTATAATCATTATACTAAATATTTACTCATTTTAGACTTTTATTGTGCATTGTTTCGGGTTTTCTTCGTCTTATTAGGCGTACGGTTTGAAATTCAGGTCGCTTGATGCCCAACCATTTCAGTCAAAAAGTTTAGTTGTTCCTGCATTTTGTCAAAGGAATGGGTTAATCTGTTAGAGCCAGAGTCAGAACCAGAGCCAGAACCCATGAACCAATTCCTTTCACCTGAGCTCTTTGTCTCTATTGAATTGTCCTGTCGATTGTTGTCTTTGTCGATGGCCAAGGGGGGGACCCATTGTGAGGGGAAAACGTTTCATTGTATGTATAAGGACAGAGACCATACCAAAATGCCTCACATTGTCAGAATAACAACACTTCCTCCTAGTTCCTACCACCACCTTTCTCACTTCTCATTTCCCATGTGCTTCTTTGTTTTTTCTACTTTTTAAAAAAGTCAACAAAATCGAAAAATCATATGATCCGATTTGTTTGTTTATGTTACAAGTGATAAGATTTGATCCTAGATTATATGATTTTTATCGTACAATCATATGATTTTTCAAATACAATCTGAACACTGACGTAATAAAATATTATTTTATTTAATGTCTTCAAAATTGATATTGCAAAACACGTGTCTGTGTTTGTCATAACATTCAAAAGCAAAATTTAACTGGGTCCACGTGTCCTTTTAACGTTACTCTTTTACTTTCCAAAAAAATAAAGTGTTGCTCTGTAGTATGCACAAACGAAATTTTTTCTGTTTTCCTTCGAACCATTGTCGAGTGGCAATGACTTTCCTCCCTCAATGATATTTGAGTTCGACGTTTTATAGCTATAATAGTTCGATAGGGTTAAAGCTATTCTTTAGAGTCCAAAATACAAAGTAAAATTTTAGTTTCATGATACTGAAGAACAATATTTATTCATGGATCGGGGCTGAGCCAAAAAAAATCTTCTAAGATGAGAACTATAATAATTTTTAATTTTTCTATCAATTAATAAAAATTTAGATGATACATTTTTAGATCTCTTCTCTATGTTAGGGAAATTTCTTTGTTGTATTTCATTATATTTTACACTAAAATTTTCAATGGATATAAAAGATCCAAAAGCTGAAATACATCATGTAAACTAACAAATGAGCGATTTTTTCTTTCAATCTCTCTTTTTTAGGTGGTTGCCTGTTTTAGTCAAATTAAAGTAATCACATTAGATAAATATATTTATATTTCCATCGTTCTAATTCTAATTCATTATGAGATTATAAGTTGTGACATTAATTATCATGCCCTTGTAATTATTTTTATACAACAACAAATTAATCGTATTAATTTTTAATTAATTATAAAATGATCATAATATGTTTAAAACTTATTTAGGAATGTTTGTAACATGGCGGAAGCATAACAAAAAGTTATTACCATTTACTTATGATTTCAATCTTAGTTATAATTTTTTCTCTTGTGAATTATTATTTCACTATTAAGGATATTAATTTGTTTATTAAAAAATAAATTATAATTGATTATAAAATATTTTAATTTGATGATGCATAAATTAATTTTCTACATCACCTCTCAAGTGACTAATAATAAAAACAGTAATTAAGTAGAAAGAGAGATAGGACAATAATTAATAATGGTGTAGTCAACGTGACTTACGTCTACTTTGAATGGTTAGGGTCACTAGGGGTACTTTATTATTTCGAAGAATGTAGGGAGAGCAGGAAGATACAAACTATGAGAGTTACAAAGATGTGCTCGATTGAGTGTGATATCTCCCAAGTGTTGGCGAGGCTTATAACTTATAGTTGCCTCATAATAGATTGTGGTGAATTATTAATAACTAAGTGACTAATTTGGTAGAGTTAGTGCCATTTTTCTCAACGAATGAGGTAGTTACGATGCTCTCAATAAGATTCGATCAAATGATGACGTGAAAGTTGACTCTTTCCAAGGCAATGCGAATGAGGCTCTCGGATGACCTTGCTTACTCTCTTAGCGGGCTTGATTAAGCGTAGACCGTTTGAATTGAATATTGAATCTTTATAAATTAAATTCTTAATTTGAACCAGGCTCGTAGCATGAATTAGGCCATTGGACCAGGTCCATCATGATCGATTATAAATTAGTAATTCAATTTTGTTTTGTGCGTCGGAGGAACATGTTTTTTAAAAAGAGTAATATTATAAGGATCTTATTTAGAGACATAATTTGGAGACTTAATGATGTGGCTTCAATGCAATCATTAGATTAATTGTGAGTTTCAATGTTAGATGGAGCCCACAACTAATCCAAATGGTTGTATTGAATTAGATCCCTAAATTAGGTCTCAAAATTAAGTCGAAATAGCTTTTTTTTTTANTCTAGACAGGCTGCATAGTGGATGGCGTTCAGAGACTTTCAAGACCCTACACTATTCCCTCACACTCTCTTTGATATGAACCCACAAACGAATTTAAGAACCCACAGGCAAATTGATTGAAGACTGCCCAATAAAGTTCACAAATCAGATTATAAGAACCAAGAACCCTAGACCCAATGTTTGCAAGAAACGAGAACCCAAGGTTAAAAGTTCAAAGAGAAAGACGCCACACTCAAGATTGCGTGATAAGTCAATGAACGCCACAGGAAAGATTAATTCTTGATAACTTCTTGAAATAGTTCTTGGAAGAACAATAAGGTAGAAACCTCACAATACTTATAAAAAATATTATGTCTTTTATAATGCTTTGAATGCTTATTTATAGGTTGGTTATTACAAAGAAAACTTCCTAAAATAGCTTATCTTATTTAAGAAATATCTCTTACTTGTGGATAAAGAAATATCTCTTACTTGTGGGTAAAGAAATATCTCTTACTTGTTAGTAAGGAAATAACTCTTACTTTTCTAAACTCTTACTTTCCTAAAAGGGAAAAACACAATCAGCCCTTTAATATGCTGATCACATGCCTTATTAAACAAGGAAAGTCTTTCTTTCCTAAAAAGAATAACTCACACGCCTAAATAGATAAGGAAAGTCTTACAATCAGACCAATTTTAACACATGCCAATTTTATGGTTAGCCTTTGCCGGAATCTTCTAGAACTTGAATCATGTTGATGGATCTTTGTTTTCCTAGTGGATCATGCTCCATGCTTGAACTTCCACAATCCTTTTTGCTATTGC